AGGCTATTGCTTCCCTGACATGGACTAGAGAAGCCAGAATTGCCAGAGGCCTTACTATATAGGAAAAGAACTATCCAGATGCTGCTAGAGCCCAGAGGACATGAAGCAATGGGTATCAGTTGGTAAAACTAGGTTATGTTCCACAGCACAGGGAGCAGAAATACAGTCCATTCTTACTAGATTTTATATAATTTCTGATTTTACTGATCCCAACATCAAATGGGGCAGAAGAGACAAAAGCTATAAGTTTTTGCCCCATCAAGCTCTACAGACTAGTATTTTTAAATTGTTATATATTTACCTGGTACTTGGGGCTTTAAAAAAAACCCTTTTCCCTCAAATTAATAAATAATTATTTTTACTCCTTTTAGGAATTCAAAACTGTTCTAAAAGTGGATAATAATTAAAATAGATAAATAAATGAAAGACTGAAAGAAAAAAACCAAATTGATCAAGTGAGGTTGTAACACTTTCCCCCCCCCATTTTTATTTTTCTTTGTTTTACTGTTGACTATACCTTTGCCAAAGAGTAGTATTTAGAGGATAAATTAAAGTAAAATGAAAACATATTTTTTCTCCTCACTTATAATCATGGGTAGAAAAAGAAAGTAATGGTTAAAGTGAGTTTTTAGTTGCCTGTGTTCATTAAATTTTTAAAGAAATAGTTCTTCATATTATGTTGTTTGGCTAACCTGATTTTATAGATAAATAAATTGTGAAACAAGAAGGCAAATTATTCAGTCAGCCCAAATGTCAACCTGAAAGGATAAAGGAAGACAATAGGGGGCTCAGGAGGTATCTATCCATGGTGGAAGAACAGCTTTTAAACCTTTTCCTTTAGAACTTTTCCTCCTAGCTGGGAAGCCCATTGGAATCAAGGGAAATGTAAGGTGGGTAAGTGGAGAATGATATTAGTCTTTAAATGAAGAAGCTTTCAGTGGGTGTGGATAGGATAGTGATGGAACAAGAATTAACTCTCCTGATCTGTATACTTCATACATTTTCTTAATAACAGACAAGGTTTCCCATTTATCTCTCATATCATTGCTCTGCATTAGTAAATTACCAGTCTTTTGATTTGTTTGAACATTCTTCTGTATATCATCACCCATTTAGGGAATATTTTTGAATTTCAAAGTGTGATGTTTAAGTATTTACAACAAAATTTAAATTTTGGTTGCTAATTTCCCCAGTTGTCCTAGAAAGCTGATCTAAGAAGTTTTCATTTGCTAATATTTCCAATTGGCAGGCTCACGTTTTGTTTTAAAATTTTCATGTCAGTTCAAAAAGCACTTTATTTTTCTTCCTTTATGGTATTCAAATATAATTTTTTATTGAAATCCTGCCTTCATTTTCTGAAGTGGTTTCAAAAATACATGTTCTTGAAACGTGTATATGCAGTGCATATAGATATGCAATTACCCAATTTTTACTTAATAATTTTGTATTATATAAAAAGCCAATGCTAAAAAAGAGAAAAGAAACAACTTTCTCCATTCCCTCTATATATTTTCATGTTATCATTCCATTAATGAGAATCAGCCTATACTCTCTGTAATTCAGTGTCACTTCTAGATTCATCTTGCTTATTTCCTCTTACTCCTAGCAATTTTCATGCCTCTGACAGAAACACAAATTCTCATTCTTTATACCCTTACATTGCAAGAGTAAATGTTGAGGACCAATGCAGACACTCAGCTATCTAAGGGGCTTGTGTCTTTTCAGCATAGTACTAATCAAGCAAAGAGTCATCATAACCTCAAACTAAACAGCCTTTGCAGTGATTTTATCACCAGGGAAATTGTCCATCCTTCAGAAAGATTGTCACCAAGAAAGAAAAAATAAAAAGGGAGTTAAAATTGCTTTAGACCATTGACTTGTTAGGTCCCTCTAGATTCATGGCTTGAATTGGTTTTCCAGGGGGAGGAGGTACAGAGGGATAGCTCTAAGAAGGCTCACAAATTGATCATAGTCTTGATAATGCTAGTGGGTGTAAGTGTGATCACTATAGGGAAAAAAACCTCCAAATGTGGCTAAGAGAAGAGAAAGAGGAAAGGAAGAAGACAATTAACATCTATTTTCTTCAGCTTATTGTGTTTGGTATGTCCCCCCCATCCTAATTTAAGAATGGGCTTTCATAAAAAGAAACAAAATATAATAGATTTTAAAATCTTTTAGTATGATAAATGCAATTAGTAGCTGCTATTGTGGTATGTATTCATCTAAATCAAGGCCTAGAACAGAAGTTAATTGTTCAGTTGTCTGAAACAATGTGTAATGTGAATGGAACTAAGATGATGGGCGCTATAGAAATATAGACATAGAGACATAGGTATTTTGTAGACCAGTCCAGAAACCAGACACTTCTGGTTATGTCCTGTGTTAAAATTAGGCATATGCAGAACTGCCTTGGTTTGGGAAAAGCTCAGTCTGCCCAGAAATAGTGCTAACATTGACATATGACGGGCAAATCCATTATGTGTGTGTAATACATAAATATACATACAACATACATATACATATAACTTTATACACACACATTCTGTAATCATACCATAGAAAGATTTGAGTCAGTTCAATTTTCATATACAATAGGAAAAAAGACAAAATTATATGATTTATTTATAGTTTGCCCAAATTCAGTCAGGTACAGCTGGATTTGCCTGGATAAGTAGCCATGATTTAGTGACCTCCAAACCATTGACAATGTAAAGATTTGCCCAAAATGAGCAGGCAAATCCAGAAGTGTCCTTGTTTTTGGATTAGTATACTCTAGGGTTGGTAAATATTTTTTGAAGTTGTCTGGGAGTGTAAGAAGGAGTTCTCAGTCCCAATTCAAGTTCATTATGGGAAATGTTCAGAGGTGGGGGAGTAGGTTATAGAGCCTTTGTGTAGGTACCTGTAAAGTTAAGGTTTTCTGCTCTACACTTGTTCCAACAGGGCCTAACTCCCACAGCTCAGTCATATACACAGACTGTAGCTTTCTGCTCTCTGGCCAACCGAAGCCATCACATCCTTATTGTTGTAACTCCCAGATTGTGATACTGTCACAAAACTGTTGCTAGGCAACAAATGTGGTTACCCGGTCTCAGCGAATAGCTGAAGGGGAAAGCAAAGTGTTGCACCATTGTAGAGTAACCATAGCAATGACCTACTATTACAGACTAAAGAATTATCATTAACAATGTTAAAGTATCAAACAGAGGCCCTGAATCTGGAGACTTCCAGGCAACATCTCTGCATGATTGGGTCATCTAGAAAGAGATTTAAACTCTTTCAAAGCTAATTATCTCTATGGGAGAGTGGTTTTAATTATTATTTTTATTTTTTAATAAAACAAATTTGCCAAGTAGTTATGGGATGTCTGCTAAGATGATGCGGATAAATTGGTGTAATCCACCAAAACTGCATGAATTTTATCAGGTGAGAATCTTGATAAAAGTTCTTTCCTTTCCTAGTCAATAATATTTCCTATGTTTGGTACATGGTGCATACGATTTGAAAAATGCTATGTAATCTGATTGTACCTAATTTAAAGCCAAAGAGAAGAGGGGATTGTAATTTTGTTAAAAAAAAAAATAAAATACAATAAAAAAAACCCAAAAACCTTGAATCCTGACAAATATGGGTTTCCTAAATTGCGGTACGTGCGGATGTAGACAGAGCTTCTTTAAAAAAAAAAAAAGAAAGAAAAGAAAACTAGGTGGTTTAGTGTCGAGTAGGAAGAACAAACCCCTAAAAACTTGACCCCTTGAAAAAGCTGTCAGTACAATCCCTTGAGTACAGACCGAGGTGTGGTCTCCTATAGAGCCAGCCCTTGGACCGGCTTTCCTTCCTGAATGGTCCGTACTTAGTGCAAAAGAGAACAGAGGGAGCTTGGGTGGGAGTCCCCTCAGCAGCCGAGCTCCGGGACAAGCGAGAACAGTCCTTTTTCTCACCGGACAAGCGAGAACCGCCGTTTTTCTCCCTTTGGGGAAGCACGGGAATACCTCTGGTGCTTCGTGAGGGCGGAGGGAATCTAGTTCCCGCCTGCAGGAGAAACCAGCCCCCAGCTGGAGGCGGCTGTGGAGCCTGAGCTGAGGTGAGAGGTTTCCAAGCAGCCAGGGAGTTTCCCTTCCCGCCTAGCCGCTTGATTGGCCTGAGGGGGCGGGTCGGGGTGAAGGGCTGTCCTGCCCGCATCCTCGAACCACCTTCCATTGGGGTCAGGGGGACTGAGGTGAAGCCGGGGGGCCTGCCCCTGGAGGGTGGACTGGCCCGGGCGGCCGGGCCGGCCGAAGCATCTTTGGGAGCAGCAGCAGCAGCAGCAGCAGCAGCTCGGGAGCCTTCCTGGGTGTGGCAGGGTCCTTCTCCCCTCCTCGGTGCCCAGTCTCAGACAGCTCCCCGGGCTCCTCCTCACTGGTCTCTCCGAGACCCTCATTTTGGTGGAAACTGTAACTCATCTCCCCAGGAGGACCAATTGACGGAATCCTCAAGAATTTGTGCTTTTTGTGGGGGGGGGCGGGTCTCGGCTTTGAAGGTTCAATCCTTCCCCACCCACCCCCATGCCCAAGGGGAGGCTTGCGGGACAGTGAAGTGCGTAGTATTTCGTCGGTGTTCAGAAACCCTGACCTCCTTTTCCGGGTGGTCTCCCCTCCCGTGACAGGGCGGGCAGTTGGGAAGGGGCGGGTGAGGAGGGAGGTGCCTGCCCCGGGAGGGCCTGCTCTGCGGCCGGCTGCTGGGGGAGGGGAAGCAGGGGGCTCCCAGCTGCTGGCAGGGATTAGGGGGAGGCAACTCCGCACAGCTTTGGCCCTAAGTATGTAACCCGCTGGGCGCCGGGAGGGCGAACACGTCGCCTCCTCCGGGGTGGGCTCACTTGCCAGCCCTCCACTGGCGCTGGGGGCTGAGTCTCCCAGAGCCCACTCCCTGGCCCTGCGACACTTGTCGGTGGCTTTTTTCTTTCTCTTTCTTTGTGAATTCATACGCAGGGAGCTGACCGTAACCAAAATCTGTTTCTCTTGCAGGTACTGAACGTCACGAGCTCACTTCGTGGAAGAGTCTCCCATCTATTTTCAAATTCTTTACTGAAGCTTCGGAAGCAAAGAACAGTCCACTCAAAGCAGCTCTAACTCGACGCTCCCACAGGATAAAACACGAAGAGATTTAAGAGGAGCGAGAAAAAGAGAAAGGACACACAACCACACACATCCGTGCATACACATGTACAGACCCGCAGACACACCCGAGAGTTCACACAGGCATCCCTTAACTACTTATTTTCGGCAAGCAGACTCCCAGCCCCTCATTAGATTGTTTTCTTCCCAGAGCACAGGGTCGTGATGTATACATCTAAATAGCGTTTTGCATTATTTCTAGATGAGTGCAACTGTCAAAGCAATATGGGTTCACTGGTTGTGCTTCCTGTGGGCTGTAGCTTGGATTTCGTGCTGCCCATCAGTGCGCAGATTAAGGCTGACAGCGGTACTGCACAGTGCAGCGTGGTGCAGCTCTAATTGCCCTCACATAGCCCTGCACCGAGTTGATGGCACAGCTTAAGAGTTTCTTCATGGTCCTATTGCCTGCATTATTTTTTGCTGCTTTGGGGAAGTGTGTGTGTGTGTGTGTGTGTGTGTGTGTGTGTATAAAACATTACCTTTTTTTCTTTTGGACAGAAGCAAACTTTATTATTTTATAAACTTAAAATTTTAGGTAGTCTTTTTCTCCATGAATAGTTACTTAAAATGTCTCTGACAACATGTTATTGGTTTTACTTTGGGGATGAATTTTAAACTCTTTAAATTAATAGCACAAATGCTTTGCATTATGTAGATTTGTAAATGTGAACTACATGCTTATTAAAAACATTAAGAATCTATTTTTCCTTAACAGACCAGAGAAAACTAGTTGAAAATCTTTCAGTTCCTAAATCCACTTTATTCTACTAGAAGAACTTTGGACTTGAAAATAAAATTTCAGTCGAGTCTATATAGAGAAGTAAGGAAAAGAGAAAATTTGGAAATGTAAACCAAAACGAATGAATAATCCCTTGGGGTGTATTGTGTGTGTGTGTGTGTGTGTGTGTGTGTGTATTATACATATATATATACATACACACATACATATATGTGTACATATACATATATATGTATGTGTTTATATGTATGTGTATATATATGCTTTTTTTGGTTTTCCATTTTCACATGAAACCTGTCAACTTATTAAGATACTTACGTTGTTAGATATAATATAGTTTAACTGAATTCTAATTTAGGTTATGTACTTAAGTTTCACTTTTAAAACTTCATGTTGTTGGAAGTTTTTATTCCTAAAAGACATAGTTTATTTTGAACTTTCATGGAACAGATGAATCTGACTTTTTTTGAGACAGGATTTTTGGATGGCATCAAAAAAATTAATCTGTGCACTCAAGTCTTTTCCTTTTATAGGACTAAGTCAAGCCAACGCTATTCTTTTAGTCCACTTAGAGTTAAAGAATACTGTTCTGACTGAAAAGTGAAGAATTGAAGTGAAAGATTGTCTCCTCTTGGTCCAATAGTATTATTTTTAGCTCTCCACTTTCTTTTAAGGATCTTCTCTAAAATTCCAGTTGCTCTGTAATCAGATCCAGTTGAGATCTCTACAACACTGTGAAATATCAGAACTAAAATAAGTCATGATTTTTCTGATAATTCTGATTCAAATATTACATTGTAACATGTTGAGTTTATAATTGTTGTAAAAAGGTCCATTACCTAGTGAGGGTTCTATTTATAATAGATGAAAGATGAATTTAATATTTTGTCACCTTTTTAAAAATATGCTACTATGGAAATATCGGTCTTATTTGATGACATCATGAAATGTACCACAAATGTCATAGGACTAGCTGGCCAAAAAATCAATTGAAATCCTCCACCTCATAATAAGCATTTATACATTATGTGCTTGTATCAGCAAGTTTTGGAACTGCTAATGTCTGATACCGTGCCTGGAATGCACATACACTAATTAATTCTTATGGTTTTGATGATGGCAAATTAAAGTGATCTTTTTCTTCAGTGGTCATGTCTGCATATTCTCTGATGTTATTAGGGCAAAGACAAAGGAGCAGGGAGGGGGGAATCAAAACGGTGTTTTATCCAACTGCTGTGTAGCTTCAAAACACACTGCCCAACAGTGTCCAACACATTGGTCTGTGATATTGACCCTTTTTATCTGATACTTTCCAGCTTTTAGAATTAATGGAAGAACTCCAGAAAGTGGTGGTATCCTCCAGTTCGATGATTTTAAAAGTTAATATCAACTCAATATATTTTTAAAATGTTTTGAACTGTGCTACTTTTTCAACATGTGAAAATGTTCACAGAAACCTGTAATTTTATCTTTTTTTTTCTTTAATAAAGCTTATGGGTTGCTAAATTCTAAAAGCTCCTGCAGCCAAATTAGGGAAGAGTAATAGCTCTCTGTCAGTGTGTCATCCTAGTCATTCTTGTCCTGCTCTTCTTCATTCTCACCTTCCTTTTGACTTGTAACTGGAGTCAGTCACTGTATAATTGCCTTGAAGGCTGTAAAACCTTTGGGTTGTTGGAGTTTATTTCAATATCTATGGAGAGCTATTTGAAAACTTTTGCTTCCTTAAGTAGGTCTGGGTTAGAGACTTGAAGAGGAAACAAGGCATCTGAACTGATTAAACTTCTTAACTTGTTGATTATGAGTTTGTGGTGTAAATGTGATAATATTGTTCATCTCTTTTATCCCAGATCTACAATCCCAGTTATTCTAGCCCACCTGCCTGGGCCAAGTAGCTGTTTCAGCTCTTAAGTCTTCCCTTGTTTGGATTTTGTTTATTGGTTTAAATGGGAGGAGTTTTAAACTTAAAGTGTGGTCTTTATATCATTAGTTATATACTTGGTTCCAAGAGAAACACTATAGAAAAATAGGAGCTGTTAAATCCTGTGTGTTAGAACTAAGAAAGCATATGGCTTTGTGATGCTCTAAGAGTGCCTAACCCTGAAATTTAGTACATCTAATTGTGTTAACTACTCCTTTCTCAAGTTTCTCATGCTCTGACCTTGGCTATACTATTGCTTATACAAAGAACTATAAAGCAAGAGGATTGCCTATGAATTATATATTTCTACTTATGGTTTTAAAATAAAAGGGTTCTCCCTCCATATTCAGTGGTAGGTTCCTTATGTTCTATTTACTTATTCACTATCTCTGTAGAGGTTAATAAAGCAAGAACTGAATTTACACATCACACATATTATATATGTGTATATACACATATACATACGCATAAATACATATATTTTGTTGAACTGTTAACTAAAATCAGTGATGATTTGCTCTGGAACCTTCACAAGACAACATTTTTTTTAATGAGTCTATAGTTTTATATAACTAAAGTATCTTAGGTAGTTTAAATGTCTGGGGATTTAAAAACTTAATATACTGATCTGCATTTTAAATTAGATGATGTTTGCATATAAATTTCTGCATTCCTCTTGAAAAGAGTTGGGGTGTGTATGTGGGGGGGAAGGGGGGCTTCCCAATGATTCAGAACATAAATGTGATTTGTTGGTTTCTTATATGCACTGAAAATATCTTTGGAATTGATAGAAAAAAAGTTAAGAAAAATTAATGTTATGTTATAAAATCATACCTACAGTATTATGTAGTATTTTTGTGCATTTATATTTTTGGAGTGTTTTGCTGCTTTTACTTGGATAATCTCTATAAATCTCCAGGGAGAACTTCAGGTAGCAAGATGTTTCTTTTTTATTAACATTGGTAATGTGAGTGATTACAGTTAATGGATATCAGATGAGGTCACCGGAGAGAGAAAGTTTCTTGGTATTCAATGGAATATCCAAGGTTCTAACCCAATCAGATGGATGTCTGCTGTTTATGTTGAAGTTTTCTGGTCAAATTCTTGCACTTTCCTTAATTCACCTAATAATCCCCCAAAATGAAAAACACTATTCTAAATTGGGCTAAATTCTCAATACTTCTCAAAAAGTTTTCCCACACCTATTGAAGAAGGCTCCTTTAATCAAATGTGTGAAAGATGCTTATTATTGAATGTAAATGGGTGGCAAAAGAAAGGTTAATAGTTGTGGTTATTATAGTATTATGATTTATTAGGAATGTGTAATAACAACATGAAAAACCTTGGGAGCTGTTCGATTTAAAAATGAAATAATTTCCTCCTTCCCTCCCTTTCTCCCTCCTTTCTTCTTCCTTTTTTCCTTTCCTTCTTTCCTTCCTTTTTTTCCCCTTCCTTCCTTCCTTCCTTCCTTCCTTCCTTCCTTCCTTCCTTCCTTCCTTCCTTCCTTCCTTCCTTCCTTCCTTCCTTCCTTCCTTCCTTCCTTCCTTCCTTGTATAGGGTGACTGAATGGGAGTCTCTTGAATTGTTCATCTTCTTTTTAGCTAATATTATATTAATCTCCAAAAAGATCAGTTTGAATCTGGGAAAGGGCACTTCTCAGAACTTAAAGCCACCCTACCTAAAGCATCATCTTCCTTAGATGGTTTAGATTTAAAACAATGCAGGTGTCATGTACTGTACTAAAATGAATGTAAAAAAAGCATGTACACTGAGTAGAAAATGTTGAAAAGAGGAAAATAACACAAACTCGATTAACAGTGATTTGAGAATAGAAGTAGCCATCAAAGCATTCCACTGTTTATCCTGAAATCTATGTAATGTAAAAATGCAACAATGATAGTCTTAAACCACACACTTAGGAGGGATGAATGTTGATTTAATTGATTCATTTGGATCGATGTTTTTAAAGTTTCACACCACTGATCTTTTATGTAGTGATGTCTTTAGCAGTGAGTGGTCTGATATGAGCCTTCTCAGATTTCATCAGCGGGACTCTCCATGACATCTGAAATTATGCAATAGTCTGTAGAATGGTATCTCTGATTGGGAGACCCCAGTGTCAAAGAACAAGATTAGATGTGAAGAACTCTTGTTAATTTCTGGCGCAAAAGCCTTAGAGGAATACAAATCATAAAGAACCATGAAGATGTAAATTTCCAAATATTACATAGTTGGTGTTAAATGCTAGATGGGAGAAAGTAAGTTCTCTTTTTGCACCAACAAAGTTGAGCAGTCACACTTTAACCAGTATACCTTCCATCCAATGTAAATCACTTTAAAAGAGAAGTTTTAACTTAATCTAGATTTTTCTGGGTCTAAATTTATAAAGGTTTTATGTCTTTTTCTTTCCATGATCTTTCTGAATTTTCTTCTTAGGGAATTACATTGGGATTCATGGAAAGCAGTAAAATAAAGCTGCACTGTATTTTGCATCCCACTGTAATACCACAAAGAACTTAAAATGAAAAGATAACTACTAACACACACATATGCACACATACATTCACTAGTCATAAGTATATCTTTAGAGGTTATATATTCTGCACCTTCAATAAGGAACTAGGTAAGAAACTTGCAAAATAACCAAACCAAAACAAAACAAAAACCATGGCACCATCGTATCACCAACAACCGTTTTCACTTTTCTGTCCAATTTCAGATTGCATGTGTTTGTGAGTATTTCACTAGATCAGTGACAGCTCTTTATTTGCATAATTATATGCTCTGGTCTGAAGAGAAAACTAACCCCCAAATTTCATGGGTCACCAAACTGTGACAATCAATGTTTTATCACGTATGCTAAGCAAAATCTAAGAAGCTATATGAAGTTTCTTGGGGAGTTTTTACTCCTCAGAAAATTTAAGAGTTTTCCTCTCTTGAATACATTCAAAATCTTTCCAAGCTCTTTGTAACTGAATTCTGTTTGAAGGCAAAACCAGAGATTAACATGTAGATTTGGATCTTAGAGCCACTAGCATGACTTCAAAGTGGCTTAAGAAGCCAGCAATGCACTACTGAAATTTTACATTATAAATACTGTACTTCACATCCACAGAGGAAAAATTATTTTTGAAAATATGGGTAAACAAAAAGTCATCACAAGGTAGTTATAACTGAACCTACAGTTTCATTATTTATTTTAAGTGGAGAAGAATTGGAGGAGTTGGAATGGGTATTTAATTGCCCTATCATTACATAGACCCTTGTATGTATGTGGCATATCTTTGTCTCTTCGTGTTGATATCTGTGGACACATACCCATATAGGTATACATTATAACAAAATGCATTCATTTTTATGTATATACATTGTCAACTTATAAACTAAATTTTTTAGTAATGAGATTTTTGACTGTACAATAATTGCATGCTCCATTTTCAATTCACCAAAAATATATTGTAACAGAGTACCAAAAAAGTCCCTTTGCTTCATAAATACCTTTAAAGTTTCTGTTTGCAGAAAATGAGAGAGTGTGTGTGCAACTGGCTTTGTTTCATTTTTAAAGAAAGCTATTTTAGCTACTGATATTTTTATTTGTAGGCGATCTGCCAATTTTATATTACAATAGCCAATGTATAAAGGCTCACACAAAGAGTGGATTTTTTTAATGTTAGTGAAATCCTAGAAGATAGGCATTTACTTCTGGTCTTTGGAGAATTCACTTTTTCTTTCATAATGCATGTATCACATTTTCCAAAAAGAATGTGTATGTGAATTTCATTTCGCAACATTGGTGTGTTGCCTTTTGCTTCAAATAGTATGGCATCCTAATTTTTCGTCAATAGTTTATGCATCAACCAATTGATTGTCAATGACAAATTGAGAAGAAAATTTAAAGTTGTGTAGTTGTGAAGTGTTTCAGTCTCTGTATGAAGATTAAAGAACTTTGGATAAAAGATCCGACATTCCTTAGACCACCCCTATTATTTTAGAGAAGGCAGCCTCATAAGGGAGAAAAAGCACTCACTGGTGCTTGTAGTTAAGATGACCCCACTCCCTGTTTGACTTTAGGTGAATCACCCTCTCTGAGCCTCAGTTTACTCTTGGGGATAATACTTGCACAGAGCTGTTGAGAGAAACCATTTGTGCACCTTAAAGTGCTATGAGATTGTCAGCTCTTATTAAGTTAAAAAAGGGGGGTGGGGGGAGAAGGAAGAAAGTATTGAT